TTATATATATGTGATGAAGTGAATCTAGACCGTTATATTTCATATGAGGTCTCACGCCGCAGGTTCAATCAAATTTAACTATCGAGATTCAATTTAGTACTGTACATCATATAACACACACAATATATATACACACATACAATGAATTGAATCTAGGCCATTAGATTTGATGGGTCTCATGTAAAGTCCCACGTAGGTTCGATCAAATTTAACTATCTAGATTCAATTTAGTACATGTGCATCATATAACGCATGCTATATATATACACACACACAATGAATTAAATCTAGACCGTTAGATTTGGAGGGTCTCATATAGCGTCCCACGCAGGTTCGATCAAATTCAACGATCTAAATTCAATTTAGTACATGCACATCGTGCCACACACTCACCAAATGATTCTTCTCTCTCCGGGTCGAATAGATTGTAACTACGTTTTGTATGCGAACAGTAAAGAAAGAGAGAACGAGTTCATTTACAAACAGAACTAAGTATCGATAATATAATATGTATCCCGCATAATCAAATATAAAATTGCCCAATCGACGTAAGACTTGCTTTAAAAAAGTGAAAAAAAAAATTAACGCCATAAGTAGTAAAAGAAAGCTCCTAATCTAAGGTTATAACCAAAAATAAAAAAGCAAAAGTAAAAAGATCCAAGGGACAAAAAAGATGGGGGGAAGGAAGGAAAAGGTGTTGTGGAATGGATGGCCACGGGACTTGCCCGAAAAGGCAAAAGAAAAAATATAATATATATTATATATATGTAAGTATGTATCGTGTTGAACGTTCATTAATGTGTAATTGCTTAGAAAACTCAATTTATTTACGTCTACATGACATCGGAATACCGTCATCGAGGTATTAAATTTACCTACCCAAAACTAAATTAAGGACGAACTTTACCTATATTTGTCATCAAAGTGTATAAAGTCAAAGATCAGGGGCAAAATCGAAGGTATAAATGGACCTACATCTCTACCGCTCGTGAAACCATAACCTAATTTTATGATTTTTCGTGCCAAAAAGACGAAGATGCCCCTCCCCGGACTATCGCCGTTTTTTCGGGTTTTTCTTTGGTCGATGTAGGAAAATAGAGCCTTTTCCTTTTTGTCCCTCAGAAATCGGGAACGAGTTATGCAATACGGTTCGAATAGAACTTTGTATTAATCAAATTTCAAGATTAATCAAAACCATCTTAATGTGCATTATGATGTAATTATGCGAAAAAGAAAATTGGTTGGAGGAGGAGTCGGTGCACCATGGGAACCCGACAATGATCCGGTTGCCTGGGGAGTGCGAGAATGGATCATTGACCAGACCCGAGACACACGTTTGAGTTGAGGACTATGCTGAAATAGATTATTTTTTTTATATTTTTTTTGGTCGGGAGAAAAATGGATTATTCTTCAATGGATGCAAAGTCTTCACTTTTTTCCACTTCCCCTTCCACCGCCTTGGAAATTAATGAATTTTACTTTTCAAAACGGACCCTTTATTTAATTTTTTAATATGGTAGTGCTTGCTTCCGGGAAAGTTATCAAAAAAGTCATAAAACATATTGCAATTGTACTGATTCAGTCATAAACCTTTTTTTTTTGCCAATTGAGTATTAAACATTTTTGCATTTGTGCTAATTTAGTCAATCCGGCCAATTTTTGTCAGAAATAACTGTCATGGACACCAACCATCCTACGTGGCGTGACCTCGCCAATGGCTGGGCGAGGCTCGCCCTCACCAGATCTAGCGAGGTTAATCCTGCCGGTTGCAACACGTAGAAAAAAGAAAGAGAAAGAAAGAAAAAAAGGAAAAATGAAAAAATATTATTAAAAAATATCCAAAGTCAATGTCGGCCGCGTCATGTAAGACGGTTGGCGTCAATGTCAGCAGTTTCCGGCCAAAATTGGCCGGATAGACTGAATTGACACAAATGCAAAATGGTTACAACCCAATTGGCAACAACAAAAAAAATGTTTAAGATTGAATTGACGAATCACAATGCTTAGGACTTTTTTTTTTGTAATTTTCCCGCTTACTTCGCGCTGCAATTTTGCTGGTGGATTTGCCTTAAAGGTATGTGTTAAAACCTAAAGTGATGATCAATTATTCTGTATTGACTACAATCATGAGGCCCTAAATTAGGGCAATCGATTTTAATTATTTTCAGTCGGATATTTATTGCTCGGGATTGAAATTTAATGCTAGAAAATGTAATGAGAAAATTTTGCTGATTGCGGAAATGAAACCCTCTTGTGCCATCATACCGATGGAAAGGGACTAGTCAAATTGGTCCTCAGTCGCTCCTCAGGTTCAGTCAAAAAAAATTGGGCAAAAGCACACATCGATCTGCTCACTGCCCCATGCCTTGGGACTGCATTTATAGTGCTTTGAGATGTCAAGTATGTTAATTTATTGCAACTGCAAAAGAAAAGGAAAAGAAAAGAAAGAGATCGGTTGATGAATAGTTTTCAACCATAATTCTTATGAAAAATTCTAGTGCATCGTTTTCACCGGGCTCACATGGGAATGCGCCCTTAAGGACAACCGGAGAGATTTAGGAGTTAAGGTGCGCGAAAGCTGGTCTGAACACCGTTTAAATGTTATACCAAAAAAAATAAATTAGGGAAGTGCAAAAGATGTATCTCATTTTTCAACCGGTGGCACACGTGCATACTCATATAACACTCGCTCGAGTTTTACAATTAGAGACTGCTTTGCACCTTTATGATCAATTTATTGTTGTGTGTTCCTTGTATACAAAAATGCCATTTTCTTTTCAAAAAATTTGCATCCAAAATCCTAAACTTCCCATCTAGGGGTGTGCATCGGTCCTAGTCTAGCCCGGAAATCGGACCGAACGGCTAGTTCGTGAGGGATCAACGGACCAACCAAGATTTTTTATTTTTTTATTTTGATGCAAACCCTACTTAGTAATTTGTTTTTTTTTTTATCTTAATGTAGGAAAACTCCTACTTGTAGAGAATAGAAGAAACCCATAAAAAAGAAGAAGAAATCACAGGTACGAGATCGACCCTGAAATTGGACCGAATTGGTTCCCAATGAATCGGCTTTGCCTAATTCGATTTTAGATTCTAGGATGAAAATCCACCCATCCCTCACCCTAGAAACGATTATGCCTTTTTTCACTCATACAAAAAAATTCAAAGTAAAATGAAAATCGAATCATCCAAATCCTAATCTGACCCGCCCAAATAGAAGGACTGATGATACGAAATATCAACGAATTGAAAGGCTATCATGATTCATGATTTTGGTTAATTGATGGGGTTAAAAGAGCCTTTCTAAGCTTCCATTCCTTCCATCAAAAAAAAAAAAAAAAGCTTCCATTCCTTGGATTTTCGAAGAGGACAAGATCTAGAGACAGAAACCACTGAAGGGAACAGAGAAAAGTTTTGGAGGGGAATCACAAGGCCACGGAGAAAGAAAAAGTTTTCAGTAGGCTTTGGCCCCAATAGAAGAAATTGCATAGGGAATCGATCTCGTTTGGATTATTACCAGAGCAGACATGGAACACAACCATGTACCTTTGCCTGAAAGCATAAACTTTTTTTTTGTTTTCTTGTTTTTATATTTAATTAGGGGTGTCCAATCAATTAATCCTTTAACCAACGCGGCGGTTCCTCCTCTTAATCATGTCGAGTAATTATAGGACCGTGTAGGTTCGCGACTCCGTAGGGTTGGGGCTCGAGCAATCGGGGGGACGGCCGAAAGAACGATTTGAGCTCGAGATCTCTTGCTTCTTGTGACATCAATATCAATATGTGTATGATAGAAGAATACTCATATAAACACCTTATTAATCCATAGCAAAAGAATCATTTTGCATCTACAATCAACGAATTACATTCGTAAAAGGGAAAAACGACACAATTAGTCTTTGAACTTCAGTTTAATGTGTAATGTTATTCCAAAACTTTTAATTTGTTCAATATGATCTTTGAACTTTTGGTACATAATCAATCTAGTCCCTAAACTATATGAAAATATTTATTATTATCCCTTAAGTTGAATTAATGGAAGGATAACATTAATAATTTTCATATAGTCTAGGGACTAGATTGAACATGTACCAAAAGTTCAGGAATCATATTGAACAAATTAAAAGTTTCGGGATCACATTGCGCGTTGGGATAAAGTTCAAGAATCATATCGAACAAATTAAAAATTCACATTACACATTACACATTTTGCTAAAGTTCGGTGACTATTCGTGTAATCATCCCTTCTTAGAATGAATTAGAGCAGAAGCGATCAAATTGTGAGGATGTTTCCAAAAAGTTCTTTTCTTTTCAATTTCAAATGGATAAAAGAGGAGACATTATTATCACGACTATTATTGTGCACGGTGCCTGAATTATGTTGAGCAATGTGAAAACTACAGGATTGAAGCTTTTTACCAACAGATAGTCAACACCTTCTGGCAAAAGAAACAAATGGTCAACACCGTCGATGGAGCATATCCCTCTCTTTCTCCCACCGTCGATCGTTTCTGGGACGATCCATGATTGCAGTCGCGAACCTTCTCGGCAGAGCAGGAGCTGTGAAACACGACCCCCTCTCTGTCTCTCTGAACTGCGAAACGCGATCCCTTTACTGAGTTTACTCTCCGTATATGTGGGGGCAGCGGACAAGGATTTAGAAATTTCAAGAGCGATGACATCAACTTTACGGTTTGGCTTGACGTCCAGGGGCCGGTGACACCCGTCTCCGCCATTTCCGGATGAAGAAGACGGTGAGAGACAGACCACGACTCGTTCAAATCACGTTACGTTACATCACACCTCGAGTTTGAACCGCGACATTTTCGTAATTTCAAGAGAGATACCTGTCATCCCGTGGATAGAGTTTTCCACCGATACACGTGTCGATCCGGGTGTATTTAGGTGATGCCGCTTATAAAACAAATTATTTTTTTTTCTTCATTTTAGATAAGAAAACGTCGAACAGGAACTTGCCTCTTCGCTCGGTTATATAACCCCTGAGCACGACCCTCTGTTTCCCTCCCCCTCTTCCTCCTTTTCTCTTCCTCCCCCTCTGATCGTACCCTTTCTCTGTTTGTTTTGCTTGAGCTTTTTGGGACACCAAACCCATTTCCCCTGATTTGCTCACCCACCACTCTCACTCATCAATTCACTACAGCTTCAGTCAGCCATCATTGGACCAAACCCACCATCTCTCACCTCTGCTTCCCCAGCTCAAACCCTGCTCGATCTTGAATTTTCTGCACTTAAATTCTTGAGTCCGAACTGGGTCATCTTTAACCAGTACAAACAACGACATAAGCTGAGAAAGTTCCCATTTTTTCTCCTGGGTTTCTTCCGGCCATGGAAAATGACTTCTTTACGTGTGGAGGAACACTCGTCCCACCACCGACATTGCAGGTTGAATCATCAGCGTCATCGTCATCGTCAATGCTGTTGTTATCCACTTGGCAATCGCTCTCTTCAGCCATGGATGCTCAGCCCACTGAGCTGAATTGCTTCTATAACCCAGGCCGGGAAAAGTCAACAACAGATCATGGGGTGGCCAAGTTTGACTCTGCCCTGAGCTCCATTGGGTCCTCCTCACCTGCCGGGTCCATGGCTACCTCCAACATATCCAATAACAGCTTTGTGATGAGGGAACTGGTTGGAAAGCTCGGCGTCGTTAGCAATTCCAGCGAGGCTCCGCCGCGTTCTCATCAATTGTTCACCACCATGCCGGCAAAGGTGACTTCTCACATTGGTGGAGATAACAGTACCAACAGTTCATGTTACAGCACTCCTGTGGACTCCCCACCGAAGCTGAATGTGCCCATGTTGGATCACATGTTTCAGGAGAATCATCACTTGCCTAAATTGGGACATGCCGTGATGCCTTTGAACTCTGGCCTAGCAGAGTTCTCGCCCGATCCTGGGTTGGCGAAGCGAGCGGCCAGGTTCTCTTGCTATGGCAGCTGGAGTTTCAATGGCCGGTCGGGCCAATTTGGCATGAAAAATGACGAAATCGTGAATAGATCCATGCCGCCGATGGCGAACGGGAAGTTGGCTCGGGTTTCCAGTAGCCCTTCTCTCGAGGCACTCGAATCTCAAATGGCTGCTGAGCAGAACAAGAATTCACCACCGCAGGACACAGGCGAATTGTCAAATTCCCAAGAGGGATCTTCATTGTCAGATCAAATCCCAAGCGTGGAAATAGGTCTGAGAGTTTCCAACGAATCAGGCTCGAAGAAAAGAAAGGCGGCCCCTAAAGGGAAGGCAAAGGGATCTGCAGGAACCTTGCCATCTTCAAATGATGCGAAGGTAATGAAATGACAAATGCGACGCACATGGCAATGTTTCAATTGTTTGTATTCATCTACTGTTTGTTGAAGTTGGGAAACTGTTATTCCAGGTTGAAGAGGCTAATGAAAATTCCGATGCCAAGAGATGCAAGCACAATGAAGGTGTAGGAAATGAGAATTGCTCTGGTAAGGCCGAGCATGATCCGAAAGAAAGTACCGGAACTGCATCAGAAGACAAACAAGCCAAGGCCGAGGTGAAAGACTACATTCATGTCAGAGCAAGGCGGGGTCAGGCAACAGATAGCCACAGCCTTGCTGAGAGAGTAAGAATTACAGTCACCTTACTAGTTTTTGGCCACAGATTAGACAAATATACGCTGCGCCAGAGCTGATAATAGCTTCCTTGGCCGTTTGTTTCAGGTGCGTAGAGAGAAGATCAGCGAGCGCATGAAATTTCTCCAAGACCTCGTACCTGGCTGCGACAAGGTGTGTCCATGACTGATGATCCTGAAAAAGAGAAGAGTTCTAATTGCACGTTATGCGAGTTTCGCTAATCTGGTTTTGGGTTTGCGATCTTAGGTGACTGGAAAGGCCCTTATGCTTGATGAGATCATCAACTACGTCCAGTCGTTGCAGCATCAAGTCGAGGTAATAAATTGATCCGTAAAAAGCTCGTGCTCATTTTTATTGAAATATTTTGGCCTAATAGTTTGCGGGTTTTCATTGTGCAGTTCCTTTCTATGAAGTTAGCTTCTGTAAATACTAGTCCTGATTATAAGGTGGATGCTCTTATGTCAAAGGAAGTGAGTACAGTAACTTCTAACACAGACAATTTCTCTATTTTCTAAGAAGGGGACACTGATAGGTGCGCGTGATGTTGTCATTTCAGATGTTTCAATCAAACGATGCAATTCAATATCCTATCCTTCCGCCAGATTCCTCGGCGGCATCCGTCTTATTTGGCCACCGCCAGCACCAGAAAAACCCAGCAGTACACAACAGCATCGCGCAGGGGACAACCGCACAATATCCAATGGACCCACTAAATGACCCACAGTTTCCTCCGTTGGATGGATCAAACGATCACGTTCTCGCGGTAATTATCGTTTCCCAGAAACACTAATATGTAAATAAACTCCATTCAGAATGCAGTTTATCTAATTTGTTTCCGATTGATCATTTCCGGACTCAGTCCTTCTGCGGAGATGACCTGCAGATGCTGGTTCAAATGGGTTTCGGCCGAGACGCGCTGACAGAAGCAGCATTGGATCATCAAGATTATCACGGTACGCAGAAAAAAGGCGAAAATTGACCATTTTATGTTCATGAGAGGCATTACATTCTTAGTAATGCAGTGGAAACTCTGGCTCGTTTCAGGTCAAAACCAGTTCTCCCACATGAAAATTGAGCTCTAGCAAGCAACTCAAATTTTCCTCACTGACCGCCTGGTGACAGAGACCCTGTATAGACAAGTGGTGTTGTTCGGAAAGTCTGCAAGATTGCCGAGCAATATGATCCTAGGTCCGATGAAGGGAAATTTTTTCACCCTGTTATTCTTTTCCTAGGTAGTATAGTTGTCTATGATCTTGTCTATTAGTTCTTCAGTCGTAGGCTTCTTGCCGTATAATGTTGGTACAATTTGGTCTTTGTGGCGTTCCAATGCTGTACAGCTTACAGCACCGAATGTAAAATAATATCCACCAGTAGCTTTCATTTGCCTACCTATTGGACATTCTCACCTCATGATTTCAAGAGGCATTATATAAATGAAGTAGAGGGAAGTTGTTTTCGTTTTTAATCTCCTTCTCAGTGTGTCTTTCAATGGTCATATCAATCGAAAACAACTGATTAAACCGCGTAATCTGGTAGTTTTGATTCTCACTCTTGTTTGTGGAACCAGCTGTTTGTTGTCGTGTTTCTATCTGCTTTGTCTCACACAAAAAGTCTTCATTTGAATGATTAGGACATTCGGTAAAATCTCAATCAGCCTCATCTGGGGTCAACAAAATCAATCCCCACGATTTCTGCCATGTCCTTTGGCCCCGCTGTAACTTTCGTTTGGTTAAACCCAAATAACATAGAGAAAAACAAACGTTGGAGCTTCTGCGTTCTGTCCACCTGCTTTCAACCGTGCAATTAAAGAACTCCATCAAGTGAAAAAGGGTTGGAACTTAGAAGTAGAACCGCTCCTTTTAAGAACCCCTTTTCTCCATCATTATTCACCACGAAGATTATTCTAATTTGATATCAAAAGAACCCCAGGTTGGCAATTGGTGAGATTCTGACTAGACCCAATGAATCGAAGGCCTTTATAATCACATCAACTTTATTAAATATACAAACTTGGGGACAGGGAAAGAGAGGGTAATGTAGTGGAGTTCATGTATGGAAAGAAAGATACCCTGAAATAAACTAGACTGACCTTGTTTTCCTCTGGGAGGTTGTTGGTGAAAAAATCCAATTTATGGCGTTGCTCTGCAGCCTTAAGCACCGATTTAATAATGAGGGTGCATTATTGGGCCCTGCAGATTAATGTTAATACAATTACAGAGGAAGATGCTCCGAATGTGGCTGTGCATGCAGGACATTTACTGACAGGATGTTGTTTAATATTGCTGGGACTATGTTTTAGGTAGCAAGTCTTGACCCCACAAAAAGTCTCGGAGAGGCCCAATCATGTACCTTGTTTATAATGGATTCGTTTCTTTTGTTTTCTTTTGCTTTAGCTTACTTTTTCCAACATTTTTGTCTCCTCGGATTTATTTAATTTTTTTAAATCGGCCAAGAGGGCTTCCACAAGAAAGGGTTATGGTCCTTTTGGTGAAGAGAGTGGCAACAGCTGTAGAATATGTAAGACAAGCTTGATACTTAACAGCAAAAACAGAGTGAATTTGGGGGGAATTTACATAAGGTGTTCAGTTAACTTGGCTCTATAGAGTTTAGCGTCTTCAAATTCTCATTACAAGATAATTAAACGTCAGATAGATGTCATTTCATCCTACTTTGAAATGTGGACATTGGACGGGCTGAGCGAAAGTGTGACGGCAAGGTCAAGTTCCTTTTTTTCTTTTTTGGTTTTTGTCGCTTTAATGCAGGTCAAGGGGGTTGTTGGATCAGTAAGTCAGGAGGATTCCAGGCAACCCTCTTCAAAAATTGACCTGGGAAATTTGGGGGAAAGAGTGCCATAGCTCCTAAGAGACATGCTACTTCTCTAGTGGAATCTAGGCAGAGGCAAAGTTTCAGAGGCAAAGTTTCCAAATGAGTAATAAAATGATGGCAAGGAAGTGGTGATATCAAGGGGCAACATGTACTTATGCATCACTTCAGAGTCATCTACCATATTCGCATGAGACATTAAATGGTATCGCCTCACCTCCCTGGCATTAGTTCTACTACCGCCGGACTGCCATATAAAAGAAAGATATCGGATGATCTGTAGATCACATAATGATTTCTCCCGCCATCACGTATGGAAAAGTCATGAGCCCGCCAGCCGCCACCATTGCCACCGCAATCTCGATCCAGAACAATACAAAAACCCTTTTGAGAGTTTTGCTCTGATATCGTTCGTAAAGACTCGACCCGAGGGGGTAAAGCCCCAGAACCTCTCTTCAAACTTTTCTTTGGGAGTGTTGGGCTGAGAAAGAAAAAGGATGGGCCACTTGACGATGGGAATCTACACCAAACCTTTGTGCTTCAGAAGCGCAAAACTTCAAGTCGAGGGCAGACTCAAAAGACCCACTAGAATGGCCACCAGCCCATTAGGATTTATGGACCCAAAGGGCCAAACCCACTCAACTCTGTCTCCTGCAAACCTCACTTGGGTGGTGGTTTCTTCTGTCGAACACAAAATAATCAACAGTAAGGGTGAGTTGAAGGAATAATCAATCGTGGACTTTGAACTCGAAGAGTTTCGGAATGATTTCACCAAACACTAAAACTTTCGGGTCCAAGTAGCCCAGGACTTCGAAACCGCAAACTCGGCCTGAGGCCGTGGCTTGTCTAGATTTGGTCCGTCATGGATCGGCTGCTACAATTACAAGTCTCTTGAAATGTAGAGCACTATGGCTTCATTTGGCGACAACTTTGCTGAAGGCCTTTGTCCTTCTAATGGACTCTGGGTAAAAGTCAAGCCGTTGCAAATTTTTATTGGAAAGTTTTAGGGAAATGCAGCATTCTGTAAAATCTTTTAGTCAAAGGCTGATCCGCAGGAGCTTTGTGCTTTAGCATTTCTGGAATACTAATGTATTTTTTCTTTTTCCAAGTTTACCATCGCTAAATTTTCGAAATACCGTAAATGCCTTAATTACGCTACGTCACAGGCAAGCCATATCTAGTAGGGTGAGCATAGTATGAGTATGTGGTTTCCACCCTGGAATCAACAACTTCCTCCTAATGACTGATTTTAAAAATTTGGAATTGGGAACTGCTTGTTAGTTCCATGAATCTACCCGGGAATTGGATTGCTAGTATGGTCCAGTAACCGGTTCTCATTCTCTACAAAATTGCATTCATCAATTAATATCATGGTAAACTTAGTTTATGTGTGGGTACTTCTTCGGTTTCATCATGCAATTAATCAAAATAGTACTGAGTCTCTATGTACATATTGAGACAACGTTATTCTCAAAAGAAGAAAACCAGAAGCCATTCTTGGAAAAAACATTTCATCACTTCATCTTATAAGAGTTAGCGAACTCTGTGTATGCATGTTACTTATAAGCAAATATATATAGCGGGAACCGGATGGGTGCCTCACTGGTTCTAGTATATTGGAATCGAGAATCGAACTAGTCCCCATTGGAACCGTCGGTTCCGGGTCAATCTAGTTCGGTTCCCAATTCCTTTGCACACCCCTAATATCTGGCACCGACGAGGAAAGGTTTGGCTCGCCGGCGAAGGTTTCAAGTTATTTTACTACAAAAATATAATAAAAGCCTCTTTTACAAGTGTAATTTTTTCAAAACAGCACTTAAACAGAGGTTGGTTCCCGATGCATTTTTAATATACATCTAACCAAGCACTATTTACATTCCAAAAAAAAAAAAAACTTTTCAACAAAATTCGTTGCATTTCTCCAAGGGTTTTCCCAAAAAGCCTTCATCAAAAGCAGCCTATAATCTAATTTCCGATCCACATATACCACACAGTTCTTCAATAGGGAGGTCGGTCAGCCAGTCATCACAAGAGGAGGCCTTAATGAAGATTAACGTTTTCTCTTCTCCTCTTCTTACCGAGAGAACCAAAAACTGAGGCGATTAAGGGTGTGAATGATAACCATTTTGCTCCAGAAATCAAATTCTTGCAAAAAATTGATTTATGGAGGAAAAATCTGTTTGATAAACAAGACTAATTCTGCTCTAGAAATTGATTTCTAGAATAGAAATCTGTTTGATAAAACAAGAGGAAATTTCTACTTCTGAATGAGAAATACATTTGATAATGACGCGTCAATTCTATTTCCGCAACAAAGATAGTCCGAACTCAATTGCAAAATATTATTTATCTTAACCTACAATGCATGATATTCGAGGCAAAATCTAGTACATTTTTTGAAATCCTGAAATAGAAAGAACAAAAATCCCAAAATATCATGTCATTACAAGAAGACCTGGTACCAAATCCTCAATTACACATAATATGAATCCTACAATACAACATTACATTACAAAAGGCAAAAAAAGCAAATAATCCTCGAATAATAATAATGGAAGTACAATACAATAGTGGAAAACCGAATTTCATGGAATCTCCGGCATATGATTATCCCTAGCCATTTTATTGGCAATATGTTTCCTGATAATATTCATCTCGGTTCCCTCTTCGGTCGTTACTACATCGTCCGTACCCTATTCGGTAGGTTTACACACATAATCCGGATCTCCATATATGGACAAATTCTTATCCGTCCTGTCTTGCTCAATTATGTTGTTATGGATCGCACAGCATGCAATTACAATATGTGGTTGTTTTTCAAATTTAAATGGAGACATCTGTCTCAAAACAAAAAAACGATTCTTCAAAGCCGCAAAGGATCTCTCAATGATATTCCTTAATGAAGAATGCCTGTGGTTGAACAATTCCTTTGCTGTTGTTGGTCCCCCACTTTGTCGAAATTTCGGTATATGATACCGTTCACCTTTAAATGGTGTTAAAAATTCTGGACTTGAAGCATAACTAGAATCGACAGCGTAGTATTTGCCTACAACAAAGTATTCATGGATTGATATGAAATGCAATCCTAGCAAAATCATAAACACAGATACTCGTTATATATCAAAGTAGCACCTGCGGGTGGTCGAGAAAACTGTAGTTGAGGTGTGTCAAGTGCAGCCGACAACACCCGACAATCGTTGGCTGATCCTTCCTAACCAGCGTACACAAAAGTAAATCGCATATCAAAGGAACACACGCAGCACGTTCTGAGTGGTTGTGCCTTTTCTACCTCTAAATCATGGCTGCATATGTTCAAGTACGGTAGCATGAATATGGGTGCCATCAATAGGGCCTACGCACCCCTATCATTTAATTAAATACATACATTAGACAAGATTATGAGCAAAACTAACCAAATGGTGCAAGGAAATGTACGAAAAACATACCTTGAAGTAATGATTAAACTTTGGTTCAATCCGAATTTCTTCTGGGACAACATCAAACGAAGGAGGTATGATAATCTCCTTCCCCAATTTCAAAACAGCTTTCAACACCTCACCAAAGTACTTGCTGACAGTTTGTCCCAAACGTTGAAATCTCTCACATAAAGTTCTGTTGGAATTCTTGTGACAAATCATTAATAAAAACATGGCAACATGTTCATCTATCTTAATATATCAACTGTCTACCAACCAACCTCTTGACTTAAGCAAACCACAAAGGTTAAGAAAAACATATTTCTCCATTCTAAATGCTTCGTATACTCTATCCGAATGTCCATGAAGAAGCTCGCCAACCCATTGGGGTCCTGTCAATATGCCATCCCTAATACGTTTTCTCCTATGCATGGACCTATGCAATCAAGCAGTACACAATCATGCCAACAATATATTCAACTCATCCTCATCAAAGTCTTGTTCACATGATGCTACTTGATCATTAAACCAGCTACTTTGACCCCCTTCCATATTACCTAGGCCATCACGCGAAAGAAGAAGACAAACTCAACATGTCAGTTAGGAAGCCAATACATTTGAACTGATATGTTGGGAATTTAATGCCACTTAATAGATAATTATGGAATTCAATCACATTAAAGCAAAGTCTCAACATCATCACAAACGTATAGGAATAAAGACAAGTCAATGTTTGAAATACATAAGTGAAAGACTGAAATGAACTCAAACATAAAACAGCATAGTATAGCCCAACAACTACTCAACAGCCCAACTACTCATCCATAGCCTCAATGAAGGCAACTCTCATTTCGTGAAGACATGTTAAGAAGCCCTCTCTCCAAGAGGCATTAATGACAGCATGTTTCATAACTTTGATGTAAAGAATCTTGTCCAGGTCATGCATGGCATTTAAGATGGCACCCACGGCTGCTATAGAGTAGGGGTCCACAAGTGTTGAGGACTGTGAGATGACGGAGGCACTTGATGTTGGAACCATCTTAACTTTGAGCATCTTTTGAATAGCTTTGCAGGTCGCATCAAATGAATGTGAACTGCTCTTTCTCCTCATCTTGGCATTTGGAGTCCTATCCAACCTATGGCTTCTTGGAGGTGTGCTCGCCGGCCCATTAAATTGTTCCACATCAGCTTGGGTTTCGAAAAACTGTTCTAATTCGCTTAAGTTGACATGAACATCATTGTCACCACCACCACCACTGTCACCTATACCCTCTGACGACGCCATGCCTTTTGCATTTCCTATTGCAAACTCCCTAGTGGCGTATGTATCCCCAAACACAACACAAAGCTGTGAATACAAAGAAAATCCGTCCTTCTTGAACTGGGCCCATTCAGTATTAGCCTGCGCCATTTTTAAAATAATGTCAGGCAGTACTCAACATTTTATAAATTTGAAATTTGAGATTACAATAATAAGACGACATGAGTAAGTAACATCACCTTGATGTGATTTGCCCAGACAGTTTCATCGTCCACGACAATCCTTTTGCTGTCATTGTCCCATCCAAATCCCGTTGTTGAAAGCAGCTTCTTGAAACTACCATATTATCTCTTCAGTTTATGTGTCTTGTTCTTGAATTGTGGTAAACTAAAGTGAAGTCTTGTTTGTTTTTTAAATTCTCCGTCAATGTTAATCCACCCTACTCTGTTGTAGGTACATGATGTGCGATTTCCCTTTTTTACCGGCAAAAGGACACTATAAGTGCCATAACTTGTGTACGGCGCTCACTTTGGTGCCATAACTTTTTTTCGGATCACTTTGGTGCCAAGTCGGAGGAAAAACGATCACTTAAGTGTCGTAACTTTTTTTTGGATCACTTCAGTGCTAAAATTTTTGAAAAACGATCACTTAAGTGCTAAAATTTTTGAAAAACGATCATTTAAGTGTTAAAATTTTTGAAAAACGATCACTTAAGTGCCAATCTCCGGCGAGCCACGTCAGCTTCAGAAATTAATAAAAAAAAATGCCACGTCAGATTTCCGGTGAAAAATTGTGTACGGCACCGGAGTTGGCACTTAAGTGATCGTTTTTCAAAAATTTTAGCACTAAAGTGATCCAAAAAAAAGTTATGGCACTAAAGTGAGCGCCGTACACAAGTTATGGCACTTGTAGTGTTCTTTTGCCCTTTTTTACCTCATCTACCATCAGACTTACAAACAATTTCAGGAGCAAATGCTGGTAATGGCAATTCAACAAACAAAGAAGAATTAAACAGAGGAGCACATCTACAAAAAAGAATATAAATTGTACCTGAGCAGAGAATTTCACACCCCACCACTTCCCAAACACAACGAGATGGAAAAAGAAACATACAAAAAGTGGGGTTGTTATTCCTTTATAAAAATGCAATCTTTGCAGGCCATAATAACATGATATACAGACAATAAGTAAAGGTGTTAATGCCATAAACCACAGCAAGCACAATGTCAAAGCCCAACGTCAAAGCCCAACAGGCATATATAGCCCAAAAATGCAATCTTTGAGAATTAGAAAATGCAATTCCAGAAATATGCTTAAGAACACAAAATGGCAGGTGATAGCCAACATGCCTTCCTTATCCACTACTTTCTGAGATTACATTTATCAATCATCACTCAACCAATCAATTATTAACACACACTAGTTAATTCAAAGTGACTATAAGAAGTATAACTAACGCAAATTTCTGAAAGTGTCTACTTCCACCTAGCTTCCAGTCGGATGTATAATGATGACCTATCGAAATCTTGCTTGTCATGTGCAAGCTCTATAAAATTTGCCTCTAAAACTCCTAAAATGTATGAAAAGAATTTGGTAAATAATAAATATTCCAACAACAAAAATTTGATGAAAACATATAGACGATAAGCACAATACCGACAACACCGTATCCTTTTGAAGACCCATCACTGGTAACTTTCCAGAAAGGCTGAAGAATATAAAGAAACTCAGTTAATGCAGTGACCATAAGGACCAACTCACAATGAAATTAAAACGAATTAATCATCTTCCCTAATTATGCGACCACATTTTTTTGAAGTCAGAATAGAAGACTCATGAGATTTTTAGTGTTAAAGTTTTTGAAAATGTTTAGTTACTTTCGTAACAATGGATGAGATTCACCAACAACATATTCTATACTAACTTAGCAATGTGTCTTTTGGCAACTTCAGGTGAGACAAATTGAAGATTCTTATGATACTATGTGCAAGCCCAGACCCAAAGGAGATACACAAGATAATTTCCACGCTAGAGTATGGAGCCAAAGCAAAATGTATTGTTCGTGGTCCACATATGCCAGCCAAGGACAATTTCCAAGCAAGTCTTTGATAGTTTGTTCTGATCAAAAGAACAACTAAAAGCATCATATAAGTATGTTAAAGAGGAAGAAAAAAGAGGCTAATGGGGTAGAACATAATTCCACCAAAAACAAATTCGGCATTTCTCTCTAGCGATTCATCGAGCAGGTAGTGTACGTTTCAAATACAAGCTTCAGTTTCACGTTTAATGCAATTCTTGCCTCAAACAATGTATATTAACTTATAAATCATCGCAATCATTCACAGGTCGGTCTCAGATTCACAATATAAACGGCGGATGGAACTCGACATCTAAGCTTCAGTGAAGTAGGTAAAATAAGGTAGAAAATAGAGTGGCTTACCTGAATCTGATGGTCGCAGAACTACGAATTAGCGACTAGTAACGGTGGTTCGAACGAGATTAGCGATGATCACCTTCGACTTCTTTGAAATCGCTCCCCTACTCTCTCTCGCTCTTGCTCCTTTTTTCTTTCTTCTATGCTTTAAACAAAATGACCGCTCCCCAGAAGAAGTTCTTCCCCACAAAATCAAAGTTGGAGGCACAGGTGGAGGCGCGAGCGTAAGCGGGGCGGAGGTGAGGGCGGAGCGCCGGAGTCCTTCTCGCCCTAGTAGAGAGATAGAGAAGGGAGAGAGAAAACTGTGGCAGATGTGGTCTCTATAGCGGAGGCGTCCACGTAGCACAGGCGCTCGCTGGGTGGAGCGCAGGAGCTCGACCTAGCAGAGAGACGAAGAAGAATGCGATATTTGGTGAGATCTCAGAAGGGCGGAGGCTGGGCGCAGCGCGGGAGTCATTCTCACCCTAGCAGAGCGACAGAGAAGGGGGAGAGAGAACTGTGGCAGATTTGGTCTCTGTAGCGGAGGCGCAGGCAGAGGCGTCCATGGAGCACGGGCGCTCGCCGGGCGGAGCGCAGGAGCCCAACCTAGCAGAGAGACGGAGAAGAAATTTGGTAAGATCTCAGAATGTGTTATGAAGGGCACGAAGAAGAGAGAAAAGAAGGAAATCTCATTCTGGAAGAGAGAAGCTAGCCTCTATTTTTTAGGCCAAAATGCATTCTGGAATCAAAAAGTAATTCTGGAGCAAAAAAAAATACATTTTTACCACACGCATTTTTGTTTCAGAATGCAAAAATTCCTCCAAAATGCATTTCGAAATTTTTTTAACAAACGTATTTTTATTTCGGAATGCATTCTGAAGCAGGATTTCAGTCTGCTTCAGAATGCATTTCATGTGCACCCTGATAAGCTTAAGCTGCAGCTGCAGCTGCAACTGCAACGGCGTCTTCCTCACCTTTTTACAGTCGAAAGCGTTTCCGTACTCCTCCTTCACCCCGTAAAAAACTTGCACGGCGAGGAGGTCCCCTGGGGAGAGCCACCACCACCCCGACCTTGCGGAGAAAATATTAGGTGGTCCCGGACCGCCAAGTCAGCGTGGTCCCCAACCACTCACGAGGCGCCACGTGGTTCACGTGGCGCGGGTGGGACCGGCGGGCCGGGACCCTTTTTTACCCAAAAAAAATTAAACTTTTCTCCCTTTTAGCCTGCACTCCTCCTCTGCACGCTAAAACCTACGCCCCCTGTCTTTTCCAGTCTCTCCCTTCTCTCTCTCTTCATTAATGGCGGCCTCACCTTCCTTCTCTCTCCTTCTCTATCTCCTCGGCGCTCCTCTCTTCTCAGACGAAAGCCCACATTCTCTTTCTGTTATTTCAAAAATCTCTTCTGCCCAATAACGATTCGCCCGCCCCCTCGCCCGCCGGTCCCGACCTCCGCCGTTACCTCCGCCCGCCCGCCCAAGAGCAACCCGCCCGCAGGTCCCGACCTCCGCCTTCGCCTCCTCCCGCCCGCCCAAGAGCAACCCGCCCGCGGGTCCCAACCTCCGCCGTCGCCTTCTCCCGCCCAAGAGAAGCTGGGTCCCGAGCTCTGATCGCCGTCACCTCCGCCGCCAAACCTAGCTCGGTGCTCCTCCCCAACGGCCGTGGATGGGGGAGTGGTGGTGGTCTCTTCTCCGTCGATTTCGTCGACCTCTGCTGTAAGTCCAAGCGGGCCAGGCGTCGGCTCGGCGTCTCCCGCTCCAGGGGCCGACCGCGCCTCCTCTCCGCCAGCAAGCCCGCGCCGCCTTCCTCGGTAAAGGCCGTGCTCCATCTCGAGTGGGCCGGCCATTCGTCGTCCCCCCGCGGCGAGCCGCCTCGTCAGTTCGGGGACAAGCTTCAGGTGACGTCCGTGTCTCTCGGCTTCCCTTCGAGCGTCTTGTTTGTCGCGTGCAGTCTTGTTTTTTTTTTTCCTTCGTATTCGTGCTTTTGTTGCGGAAGTGGTGCTTGGAGGGATAAGAGTGATCGGGAGCTTGTGAAGGTGGTAAAGGACGTCACCTTGGAAATGGAAGTGTGAGTGGATACACTAGGAGAGTTTGTTTCCAGTGTTCCTATTTTATCGGAGATGGATGCTCAGTAAGATTCAGAGCTAGAGCAGTTTCAGAATAGTTGGTAGTGAAGGTTTGGAAGAGGATCAGGGCTGACTGTGGTCTTCATTTCTTTCTCTCTTTTTTTTTTAGCATCGAACGGTTTGGGTCAGTGGTAATAATTTTGGATCTTGAAAATCTCGTTTGGAATCTTGGATTGTGGAGTTTCTGCAGACCTACTTCGGATAATTATGAGCCTTCTCTGGGTTGCTGCTTAAATTGCAGTGTTTAGTTGATGTAGAGAATAACCAGTGTTCGTCATGGGTTACAAACGAGTGCACTGTCCCCTGGTCCTTTTAGATGAACAAATGGGATGAAATAGCTGGCGTGCCTTGATATGCTTTCACTTCTTTTTCTTGAAGTAGTTAATGAGGAACCATTTAGGAGTTAGAATTGTGACGTTGCTGCTGGTTTCATATGTTCTTCTAAAATGTACTACACGGGACTGATCACCTGTGGCTTATACATCATTCTAAGTCAGGAAGTTAATGTTCATTTTGAGTATGGAAGAGTGCATATACCCGTGAATGATCATCAGTGATGCCAAAAATTTCTAGATGAAGGCACCTTTATTTCTTGCTTCAAGTGTGAGCATGGCTATTTGAGGTTAGACTTAGTATTTTTGCTTCCAAGTGTGAGCATTGATTGCACAATTTCATGTAATTACCATGGAAGTTAGTGTTTGATGTGGTGGATGTGCCTTTTCCCTCCACAGTTATTGTCACGCCCCGAATCCCAACGGGCTCGCGACACCCCTTCCACGGTCGTATTGAACGCGACGTCCCAGGACACGTCGCCGACCCAAACGAACTACGCAAGCGGAAGCGAAATAAAACAACCCGGACAATAAAATATGACGAAGGGATAGCACAAAACAATAATTCCAAATACACAACATCAAAACGGAGTAGTGGTTTGGATATCCTACTTCACTATACAAAAGAGGGGCACACAAAAATATGGGGCAACTTGACCCGTCCTCCACTCCCGAGATACCCCGGTGGCGTCTCCAATCAATCACTGTCGCAGATCTGAAAATGGTTATATAATAACCGTGAGAACGAGTCTCAATAAGCAACCCCCTATACCCCACATAGGCCAATGCGTACCCAGACAAGTCGTACATGCAATCTACCCCATAACATATAAAATAAAATCGCATCCTTATACTTACCTCACCATCGAACCCATGCTAACACTGCACGTTAGTCATAACATGGTAATGCAGTAATAGTAACTAAATAGCACATCGCAATTGCTCAAACGCCAACCACACTTGCACGCAATTCATCTTACTAATTCGACCACACATTCAACTAGCCAATTCAGTCACACTCAACCAGCCATTTCAATCACACTCAAATCGCATACGTGGCCGAACATCTTTCTCACGACCCGCGCCACTGCGCCTCAGGTCCATTCTCACTGCCCGCGCCACTGCGCCTCAGGCCCATCTGGCACACCGGCCAGTCATGCTTTCACACGGACCGCCGTCAACACGTCCCAAGTCCGTAGCCCTCCGATCAATCCGGGCTCAATTCTAATGACCGACGTAAACACGTCCCGGTCCAACACACCTTTAACGGGCCACCGTCAACACATCTCAAGCCCACATCCATTTGGCACACCGGCCATTCATGCCTTCACACGGACCGCCGTCAACACGTCCCAAGTCCGTAGCCCTCCGATCAATCCGGGCTTAAAATCGACAGGCATGCACACGCCATTCAATTCAATCAATTTCACGCCAATTGCATCAAATGATCCATATTCACAATTCGCCACGTCAATCCACAAACCCGACGTTCAAGTCGGCCACGTACGATCACCCAAATCATGCACATTATTTTATCCAATCCAATTAGCACAATTATATCATAATATAATTAAATTAAAACACGCCCTAGCCGTTCTAAACCCGAGACAAGTCTATAAAATACCCAAAGTACTAGGTAGGGTTTAGGAAGTCACTTACTTGGTTTTGGCCAGGTGAAAATCGGCTCGGGCCTAAAATGGCCAGGGTGAATAGTGCCGAACTAGGCGCGGGCGCTGGGCCAATCGGCGCGCTACGACCGGCCAACGCGGGCACGGTGGCCGATCGGCGTGCCTGGGCGCGCGGGCGCGGTGGCCGTGCGGCGTGCCGGGGGCGCACGGGCGATCGGACGGGCGACGCGCCCGGGTTGGACGGGCGACGCGCCGGGTTGGACGGCAAGACGCCGGCACGACGGGCGAGCGGGCGCATGGCCCGATCGTGCGGGCAACGGGGGCCAGCCACTTGGGCAAGCCCGGCACGTCCCGGGCCTGGCTGGCCGGCAAAGTGACTGACGCGGCGGCAAAGAAGCGGCGGCGATGGAGCGGCACGGCGCGGCGACGGCAGCGGGCAGCTGCGACGGCGACGCAGCGGCGAACGGCGGAAAGCTAAGGGGAAGAAGAAGAAGGTGGCTGAGGCGGGTGGCGCGACTGGGGGGCGTTCGGCGGCGGTGACGGCAACGCTCAGGCGTCGGGGCGGTGCTGGGGAGTTGGCCGGACGACTGGACGGCGGCTGGGACTCGCCGGACGCGGAGGCAAGCGGCGGCGAGCCGAGCTCGCGCGCTCGGGAGGGGAGGAAGGCAGCGTCGGGCAGAGCTGCCGGGCGACGCGGCGGCGCGACGATGGCGCGAGGAGGACGGCGGCTGGTGGAGTGGCGTCGGGCGGAGGCGGAGGGCGGTCGAGCGGCGGTCGGCGAGCTCGGGCAGAAGCAAAGCAGACCAGTCGGCCAAGGAGGAAGAAGGAAGGAGAAAAAGAAAGGAGAGAGAAGAAGAGAGAGGAGAGAGAGGTCTGACAGGAGGGGGAAAAATTTGCACGTGAAGGGACACTTGCGTGGGGGCCAACGTGCGCGGCAGAGGGGGAGGAGAGAGAGAAAGAGAGAGAGAGGAAAAGTCAAATCGCAATAATCGCGATCCAATGGCCCACGATCGAACTCGAAAACGATCTAACGGTCCACAAAAATCCTAATTAATAATATAGGAAAAAGGGACAAGAGAAAATAACTCAAAACACACTACGAGGGAGGTATACTAGTCCAAATCCGCACCCGGTCAAAAATTCACTTTTCACATATCCCGGGTAATCTCGAGGCTAGTCACAATAATATCGACACCGTCCAATTAAATTCGTCCCGGAACTCCGAGAAATTCGACACCAAAGTTTGGGCTCTAAATAACGGTCAAATTCGATCGAGTGCGATTCTAGCGAAATCTCTAATTTAAAAATAATAACCGAGAGTGATCAGTTCCCGGGCGAGATTTTACTATAAGCACACCGACGAATTACACGTTTTATAAATCCCAAAAATGGGCCGAAATTCGGAATGTCACAGTTATTGTAAATATCTTCAGACAAGAAGGTATTGAGGTGCTTGGATGGAGGCCTGTCCCTGTAGACTCATCCATAGTTGGTTTCTATGCAAAAGAAACCATGCCTGACATACAGCACGTATTTGTGAGAGTTGTAAAAGAAGACAGTGTTGATGACATTGAATTAGAACTATACATTTGCCGGAAATTGATTGAAAAGGCCGCAAGTATGGAAAACTGGGGAAATGAGCCCTATGTTTGTTCTCTCTCGAATCAAACGCTAGTTTACAAGGGAATGCTTCGGTCAGAAGTTCTTGGTTTATTTTACTTGGATCTTAAGAATGATCTGTATGCATCATCTTTCGCTATATACCACAGAAGGTATAGTACAAGCGCAAGCCCCAGGTGGCCTCTTGCTCAGCCAATGAGGTTTCTTGGTCATAATGGAGAAATCAACACCATACAGGTTATCTACTGCTTCCATTTTGTACTATGCTGTTTTCATGTTGCGGACTTCATAAATGTCTCTAAGCTAGTCCAAACGTGTGTGCAGGGCAACTTGAATCGGATGCAATCTTGTGAAAACTCATTAAAGTCCCCTGTTTGGCATGGTCGTGAGAATGAAATCCGTCCTTTTGGTTATCCCAAAGCGTCAGACTCTGCAAACCTTGATAGTGCAGCAGATTTACGTGTCATCTTTCTCGTGGTTCATCATAGTTTATTTTTGTTTTTCGAACCTTCACTATCTTCATGCTTATACACTTTCATTAGTCATCATCTTATCTTTCACTTTATTAGCTATGAAACTTGTTGGATAATTAAGAAAGAAATTGAAAATGTGATTTTCTTTTTATATAAAGGAGTGTGTAACTTAGGTCAATCGGTTGCTTTTTGTCAGTGCTTTTTTGGATGCTACTAAGTGCGTAACTTTTCTGTTAATGTGTAGAATGTTCCATACACTAAGTCTTTTTGTGTGGTCATCTAATGTGGCATATATAACTACGTGTTCCTCTCTTTATTGCTGCATATTGATGCGGTTGAGTTTAATTTGACAGCGAAACCTAGACACAACTCTCCTGCAATGATAATGGCAATGTATCCAAAAGCTTATGCTGTTGGGCACACAAACTAGAAATGTATATCTACTACAAATTATGACCCAAAAAAAAAAAATCTAGTGCAATTTGTTTGCTATATGATGTGGTTATCGAAGCATGTTGATATCAAGTGAGCTTGTCTGTCTTCTTAAGATATATTTCCAGATAAAATTTATTATTGTACATTTTTTGAAGCTTTGTGCATTTGTGGTTGGTTAGTTTAGAAACCTTTCACATCTTTTCAAATTTTGAGCTTAAGATTAATAAATTAAGTCTTAAATAAAATTTGAAATTAGTATATGCAAGCCTACAGGCCAATACTTAAATAGGGCCAATATTTAAAAATTGTTGTTCTGTGTCTTTGGTGGTTTTGGTATCTTAACCTCCTTAGTCCTGTCTCTCTTCCATGATTGCGAGATTCGTTTGCTGGACTGATGTTTACCACCTTTGCTGAATTACAAAGCTCAATGGGGAACACGATAGGAGAGCGTTACGATCACTTCTAATGATCGATAAAGCAAGACCCTAAATTATGCATTATCTGTTGTAAAAGTTCCCCATGTTTTCTGTGCATCTTTATTTCTTTCATACTTTTGCCTGTTTTTATCTATGATTGAAACCAATGGATGATCAATCTACTGTTTCAGTCTGTTAGTTTCCTTCATGAATCCTCATTCTCTTTGTTGGTTCAGTTATTGATAAGAAGTGGCCGAGCTCCTGAGGAGTCTCTAATGATTCTTGTTCCAGAAGTATACAAGAACCATCCTACTTTATCGATCAAATACCCTGAGGTACTTCACTTACAGTTCTTTTCACACCTAGTGCTTATTTGGATGTGCTGTTGGTCAATCAAATTTTCCACCAAGATCATTGTCAAATGTTCTCTTAGGTTTTGCAAAGGAATTTTCCAGTGTCACTAGATTGTTTCTCCATTCCTGAAGATTGATCATCTAAAATGTGCCAATGCTAGAGTACATTTCCAAACAAAATCTATCATAGCCAAATTGATTCTTTCACGATGGGAAATGGCTTTGTAATCATTATATGTCATACTTTTTCACTTTATGTAATTAGAAACTAATAGGTAAGTAAGCCAGGTTAGCAATGAGGAATTTATTAATTGGAGGCAGGGACGACTAAATCATATAAATGTATTCTTACAAGAACACGCTGAAGAACTTTTTTGAGAATTGTTCCGGCAGTTGCTTACTGGCAATTTGGTCATTAAATCCTACATAATGAGAAGCTTTTAGTGATAAGATAGACTGTTGAATGCATGACCTAAATATTTGTCTCTGTGACGTGCGAATGCATCACAAAAATCAGAGTTTTTGTCGGGAGCTCTGTGATTTTCCTTTGACTTGAAGCACCTATCGTTTGACAGGCTTTACTCCTCACTTTGAGCAGATATCTTATAAAATCAGACCTGTTGCTTGTCTTGTAATGGGCTTTGCTTATGTTTGGTCTTTGTCTCAAGGTGGTTGACTTTTATGAGTATTACAAGGGTCAGATGGAGGCTTGGGAACTCAACCTTATTTGAGGTAGATTTACTAGACATGCCAAGACTGATGGGCAATGACAGAAGCTTCAGAAAATGCAGGCTTTTCGAAGAGTGGTTTGATGCGGATAATATCGGTTTTCCTGTTTTTCGACGTTGTATAATTATTCTTTTGGTTGGGCTTAATTGTTGGTGGTTCCCCAAATATGTAATGCTCACATACTTTTGATAGATTTACCATTTCGATATTGTGAATGAATGTGCTGTCGAGATCTTCGATTCATATTAACTTTGTGGAGTAGGTCTGCAAAAAATGCTTCGATCTTTGTCTTCGGTATAATCCCACAATCGGGTTCTTCAGTTTCAGATTGTGGATCTATTCAGTATTCAGACTTGGTGACGTTGGTTGTAGCCTGTCTTGATGTAATATTTGGGTATTTTTGTTTAAAAAAAAAGGTCGAAAAGTCAAAAGCCACTACGGTGGCTCGGTTAAGTTAAAAGGAGACTGAGAGCTCCTTGCCGAGAACAGAACCAGAAAAGGGAAGAGGAAAAAAGGGAAAGGAGAAGAGAAGGGAAAAGAGGTTTTGCGCCAGATGAATCTCGCTTAGCCGATTCGACTTCGTATTTCAACGCTTAGTAAGCACTTGCGCTCTTTGTTCATCCAATCGGAGAAGTTTTCAGATTTAGGGTATAAATTCAGAATTTTGGGAAATTTTTCGCTGCGAAGTTCGATTTTTGAGTTGTTGAGCTGCGCATTTTTATAGAATTGGTAGTTTAGGGTGTCGTGGAGCCGTGAGATTTTACGGATCTTGATTTGGACCTACCGTTTACCCGAAACGAATTTTTAAAGTTTTCCGCGCGAAGTGAACAGTGCACGTGCAGCAGCCTTCAGGCCATATTTCGCTGCGAAATCTGATTTGAGTCGTTGAGCTGAGCATTTTTGTACAATTGGTAGTTTAGGGTGTCGTGGAGCCGTGAAATTTTACGGATCTTGATTTGGACTTACCGTTTGGCCGAAACGAATTTTTAAAGTTTTACACGCGAAGTGAACAGTACACGTCTAGCAGCCTTCAGGCCATATTTTGCCGTGAAGTCCGATTTTTGAATCGTTGAGCTGCACATTTTTGTAGAATTGGTAGATTAGGGTGTCGTGGAGCCGTGGGATTTTACGGATCTTGATTTGGACTTAACGTTTGCCCGAAACGAATTTTTTAAGTTTTCCGCACGAAGTGAACAATACACGTCCGGCAGCCTTCAGGCCATATTTCACCGCGAAGTCTGATTTTTGAGTCGTTAAGCTGCGTATTTTTGTAGAATTGGTAGTTTAGGGTGTCGTGGAGCCGTGGGATTTTACAGATCTTGATTTGGACTTACCGTTTGCCCGAAATGAATTTTTTAAGTTTCTGCGCGAAGTGAACAGTATACGTCCGGTAGCCTTCAGGCCATATTTCACCGCGTAGTCCGATTTTTGAGTCGTTAAGCTGCTCATTTTTGTAGAATTGGTAGTTTAAGGTGTCGTGGAGCCATGGGATTTTACGGATCTTAATTTGGACTTACCGTTTACCCAAAACGAATTTTTAAAGTTTTCCGCGCGAAGTGAACAGTGCACGTGCGGCAGCCTTCAGGCCATATTTCGCTGCGAAATTTGATTTGAGTCGTTGAGCTGAGTATTTTTGTACAATTGGTAGTTTAGGGTGTCGTGGAGCCGTGGAATTTTACGGATCTTGATTTGGACTTACCGTTTGGCCGAAACGAATTTTTAAAGTTTTACACGCGAAGTGAACAGTACACGTCTGGCAGCCTTCAGGCCATATTTCGCCGCAAAGTTTGACTTTTGAGTCGTTGAGCTGCGTATTTTTGTAGAATTGGTAGATTAGGGTGTCGTGGAGCCGTGGGATTTTACGGATCTTGATTTGGACTTATCGTTTACCCGAAACGAATTTTTGAAGTTTTCCATGCGAAATGAACATTACACGTCCGGCAGCCTTCGGGCCATATTTTGCCGTGAAGTCCGATTTTTGAGTCGTTGAGCTGCGTATTTTTGTAGATTTGGTAATTTAGAGTGTTGTGGAGCCGTGAAATTTTACGGATCTTGATTTGGACTTATCATTTGCCCGAAACGAATTTTTGAAATTTTCCTCGTGAGATTTTACAGTAATCAGTAAGCTTAGAGAGAGAGAGAGAGAGACAGAGAGAGAGAGAGAGACACACAGAGAGAGAAAGAGAGTAAATTGCTATAAAGATGCAAAAAGAATTTCTGTAGACTTAATGCCAAAAGGTTTACTTGTTTCAAATAATTTCACAAACTTAATTCTGAGCCTTTCTATAGCTTCTGTTTTCCCTAACACTGCTAAGATCAAAATGATGTGCCAAAATCGGCATCAACTCAATAGAACGACATGGAGTCGGAGAAACGCTATACTAGAGAAAATGTGAGTGAAAAAGAAGAAAAAAAATCTAAGCTAAGATAATGCTTCGTACGGTCGACTTCACGTAACTTGCATCAGAGTCTCAATTTGGTCCTCCACATGTCTCCAATGACCATCTTAGATCGCAGATTATCTGGCCCTCGATCCAGCCGTCACAAAAGCCTGCGATTGTGGTTTTGACGCGGTAAGGAAGCTTCCCGATCACCATCCATTTCATGCCACAAGCATATAGACATCGTTGTAGACTACCTGAAATAAGAAAGATCCAAGTTTGAAGAATCAGTTCGAATGAAACATCATATGACACAAGCATGCATCTTTTGATAAGCTAATAGAATCAATGACCAGATGATGAGTAGCATAATCAGCAAAGAATGTATCTAAACATGTGAATGCCCCATTCTACTTGGTTCTCTAAGTAACATGTGAATGCCCCATTCTACTCGAACTAATTATCTCATATCTCAGCTCATATATATCAAAAGATTAACGCAAAATGCTAGAGCTGCCTCAGGAAACCACTGGTCCCAACAAATTACTGACAAAGATAACAAAGTTGATCAACCTATCATATCTTAACCTTCAACTTTGACTTATGGAATCAGCCTAAAAATGTTAAAGCTTTGCGGAGTCTACATTGAGACTTCTAGTTGCCATTACCTGCAATAGATCAACTGCATAGTGGCGACTTCATTGACTTAGAGACCTCCTGCTCGTGATAAATAAGTGAAGATGGAAAAAGGCATATACACATAAAAAGAGCAAGTTCTATCTACTACCACTATGTCGTCCCCAAAGCTAAGGATCTTTGATACGCGGCGCTATCACTTGTGGAACATATAGATGCTATATTCCATTCTGCTATTTTCCACCTTCCGACGAATTATGGGGCGACCGTGCATTGTCTATGCCTTCAGAATCGTTCAATTCATTCGTCCTAGGATGTGGAAAAAAATTTGATGGCCCCTGTACAAAGGTATAAATAATACATTGAGAAAAGGCAGTATGTTAAATAATGTGCCTGCATAAATATTATCTCAAATAATCCCACGTCAAAAAAAGTCATGCAACTTGTACCTAACTCAAAATGTTTCCATGGGATCTATTATGGTACTCCAACATCTATTGACAAAAAACCGTTATCAAGAAGTATTAGAATAGTTTACTAAAATGAAACAACATCAGGATCTAAAATGATTTTCATAATAGGTACCTGACTAGTGAATGGGGAAAATCCATTTACACCCCCTGGCGGCATGATATATGGTGGTTGCATCTACATAAAAAAATGATCTCATTAGCAGAATGTAACAAAATGCAGCCACGGGATCTATTTTGCTACTCCAACATCTATAAACGATACACCACTAACAATAAACCTTAGAATTTGCAACAAATTTCAGCCAATATAGTAACCCAAACTTCTAAATACCTGACTAGTGAATGAGGAAAATCCATTCATAATCCCTGTTGACATAACATATGGTGATTGCATCTATATAAAAAAATTTAACCAATTAGTATAATGTAAATATAAATGTTGAAGTCAAAGGGACACACCTGATTATGGAGATTGAGATTTACTATAGGACCACCAATGTTAGTAGGACGCAAGGTATTTCGAGTCTGATTTGAATATCTTGAATAATCTGGTAAATTAGTCACATCCTCCGTTGCTTGGACAACTAGCTCTACATTGTAAAATAAGCAATATATTAATTGCCATCATGTAGCATAAGTATAAAAATAAACTAAACACATTAGCTAGAACTCTACATTGCTCAGCTCACCTCGACTTTCTATTAGCATTGGGGATGTTCCTTTCTTAGATTTTTTCTTCTTTTTCTCACTTGAGCTTTTAAGCCTTCCATAAGTAGTTCCCTTTCCTTTTCTTTCGAAGGGGGTCCAATGTCGGCATCTCAGGCAAAGAAGTCTCATCATTATCATCATCACTAGCATCATCTATCACAATAAGACTTGAGTTGTATGCTGAAATTTCAGCCACTGTTACATCCAAGTTCTTCTTCGCTATCCTCATAGTATTTTCATCTTGGGCTCCCAAACTCATCACTTCAAAAGAATTTCGCATTAACGTGGAAAATCGATTAAATGTAGAAAGACCCGATGACATTTCATGAGATTCATCATTCACACACCCTTGCTTTGCACCCTTACTCCATCTTTTCAATATATAGGAAGATGGAATGGCTGAAACCGATATGTTCCTATTCAACACGTGCAAAGCATGGCGACACAACCACCCATTTGATTCAAATAGTTTGCACGTACAAGAAACCGAAAAGTCAACAGGGTTAAATTTGACAACATGTTCACCTGCAATCCCCTCACGTACGAGAATGTAGTGCAAAATTACCCCATCAAAAGCTTCACTTGAAACAAGTTCAGAGACACCTTGAAGAAATTCTTCATGAAACCTATGAAAAATGGTACAAGTATACACCAAACCGGCATGCTTCACTATCCTGTTATCCGCAAGCCGCGATTTGGGCGCCCCACGGGATTTATAATCATCTTGACCTTGAATTTCTCTCATATGTTTCAACTGTTGTTCATAGTGGTGAACAAATTCT